AAGAAGAAAAGCTGAAAAGATGTATTTTATTAAAAATCATAGTGAAGCACAATAATCATACCTAGCCTATGTATTCACTATTTAAATTGTAAAAAAAGAGAACTCCATTCTCTAAACAAATGTATTAAATCACGTTTTGCAAAAACTTAGACAAAACTAACAGATTTGATCAAATCTTCATGCAAAACTCTAAAAACACACTCGCTAAAACAGATTATGAACTTGTGATACATAATGTTAACCACATGCAGAAGAATTTAAACATACAGCACATAGCTTCCACACAATAGCTCAAAATTATCCACAATTGTTGAAAATGATGTCACGAACCCAGTTCAGAGTCCACAAACAGCTCAGTGATTTGAAGACTGACCCCAGTGATGATAGAAGCAACCAGTGTGCAAGAGGTGATGGATGATGAAGAGTAAGAACAAGAGCAGCAATTTTAGATAAAATCTGAGGAACTGCGATACACGTCGCTCATGGAATGACAATGAAGGAGGCAGGGCAAAGAGTGCAACCCAATCACAGCTGATTCTCCGTGGCCACTACGAACAGGAGATCAAAAGAAGAGAACAGGCCATTTAGTTTGTGGATCATCAGGTTTTTACTGACGCTTCAGTACATCATGTTGCCAATATAAATATGTGCATGAGTGCCTGCGTGCGTCCTCTTTGTCACTGTTCCCTTTTTGTAAATGGCCACATAATGGTACCATGTCCTGAATGCCATATTTTCTATTTTTTCCAATGAAGTGCACCATGAATGTTCAGTAGACTTTTTCCCCCCATGTGCTTCTTTTATTTTTCTAAAAAAAAAGAGTCGTTATCAGTGATTCACTGTTTGGTCTAAGTGGTTTTAGGAATGCAGCTTGAAAATTGTGTTATGTGTTTACTGCTTAAGAAAAGGGCCCAAGTGTTCAAGAGTTTACTCAGATCTCTTCTGAGTAAACTCCATTCAACAGCATCGGGAAAACCTTTCAAAATAGGAAATATTTGAATTTCATTGAGTACTTATTTTCTCAGCAACTCTGTTGCAGGTCAACAGTTTACATTATTTGGCATTTTAATATTCCTACATTTACTTGTTCAGAAGATGGAATGATCCAGTACCGAAATCCCCAATAGGTTTTTTTCTTTTTAGAGTAAATGTGGTAATCGCTGTATTTTAAGTTTAACTCATTTTCCAAAAAGACAACACAAAATACACAGTTGTACATGAATCTGACTCTTAGTTTTCTGCATATATAGTGAACGTATAATGCAACAGCCCCAACATTTTCAGTTATGTATCCATGACTTCAGTGACTTTATGACTTAATTTCACTGATTTGCATTCATTTAATGCAGTGGTTCTTAACCTTGTTGGAGGTACCGAACCCCACCAGCTTCATATGCGCATTCACTGAACCCCTCTTTAGTGAAAAATAAAATGTGATTTTTTTACTGGTGCACAAAATGAGCCATGCATGTCATGGCGGAGGCTCTGCCGAACCCCTGAGACCGACTCACCGAACCCCTAGGGTTCGATCGAACCCAGGTTAAGAACCACTGATTTAATGGGAACGTACTTTATCTTTAATCAAAAATCATTAATACTACTTGGTTAACCTAATTTAACCTCAAATTTCATCCATGCATTATAATTATTTACAATGCAGCAACATTTGTCTCCATAAAATGGTAAATAGAGTGCTGGTTATAAAGTGTATTTCACATATAAAGCTATAATTAGCTTTAATATTCATACAGCACTGTATTTTATGCCTTTATGAACAGGTGTGGACTCGAGGAACCAGGAATAGAAGCAGTAGCCTTCCGATTGTCAGATGATCCTCTCTACCTTCCAACCCATATCCCCATAATGCCTCAGTCCCCAAAGCATTAGTAATACCTAAACTACAACACACACACACACACGCACACACACACACACACACGCACACACACACACACACACGCACACACACACAGAAGTATCTTTGTCCCCCAGACAGTGCTATTGAAGTCTTTAATCAAGACTAATGTGTAATGTCCCGTATGACCACCATTAATCATTTAAAGCCGGGCAACAGTGCTATTGATCAATGCTATACTTCAAAGCAGCCACTGCTGGCAAAGGTGTGCATGTCTGTCTAACACAGTTTGCTCTGTACAACAGGTCAAGCCTTAAATATCATATATGATGATGTTCATGTTGCTTTTATGAAAATGGGGATATAATGTCTCCTCTGTCTCTGTTTTACTGCCAACTTTGAATGAACTATGATGGAAAGGAAAAATGATATGGTATGGCATTCAAGAGAGGCTGAACTAACTCTCTGATATATATGTTGCATGGGTACAAAAGTAATAAAAGCCAAAATACAGTGTACAGTGCAAAAGTACTAAGACTTCCACAGAAGTGACTCTTTTTTGGAGCCAATATTCACAAAGAGGAATATTCTGAAAATAAGCTTTGCAGGGCTCTTCTTTCAAAAGCTATGATGACGGACTGACAAAAGAATGTAAAATCTATGCTGCTTACATTTTGAATTCAGACAGTTTGGTCCTCATGGCTGGCAAGAACACAAAAGAGATAGCCTCTAACAACAGGGGAAAACAAATTCAGCTGAAGCTCAGGTGTTCGTGCAGTAACACTTCATTTACAAGTTGTACAAATATAAAGGGACTTTGACTCTGCATACAGGCATTGTGCATGCTGCCTAAGAAATACACACAGGCAAACAGAAGATCTCCTCTGATTTCTTCCTCAGTAGATTTGTACTTGTCCTGCTATAGCCAAGTTTGCATGGGACAGCGCCAAGCAGCTAACAACCAGCAGTTTATTAATTGGATCTGGTAGCTTGTTTATATTGGTAAGGACTGAGATCATTTCACACTTGCCATGGAACAGGTGTGCTCTGCAGCAGTGCCAAATGAGCAAACTGCACGGGCTCAGCACATTGAAGCAAAAAAAAAATAAAAAATTAAATAAAATTAAAAAATGAGCTTTCACCAAAAACATGCAATAACTCAGCAAAAAGAGGAAACACTACTGAGATCTAGGGCTCTCCTCATTCACATGTATCCGATTCCTGAATACCAGCACTAAATTGTTCTTCTTCTTATTTGCTTCATTCTGGAAATTTCACTCCATTTAATGTTTTTACTACATTTCCCCTCTAATTAAATTCAGTTGTGTGAAGGCTTGCTAGACGAACCGCCTTTACTTTGATTATAATCTTCAAATCTTAAGCGTGATTTTGAAAAATTATACAAAAGACTAAATTTCAGATGCACTAGACATGAGCCCAAGGATATTCCCTGGAGTTTTTTTTGTTAAAAATCATTATGAGTTGGATAGAAATGAAAAGGCCCTGAGGGTCTAAACATTGCTTGGGACAGACACTGACTGCTGTTTTTGAAAATGAGCTATACCTTTAAACAGTCATATCCTGATGTCCCCTATCAGAGACAATCACAAAATAAATATCTGCAAAGTTCAATCCTATTTCTAATCCTATGGCCTCTGATGACTATCTGGTGAAGAAATATGTACTGACAAGCACTATGCAGATTTGGGTAAAAAAAAAATGTTAATTTGCACAGCACCTCAGAAGCGCATGTTGTGTCTGCCTCCACCAAACGCCGGAAGCAGAGACGATGTGTCTGAATCTTAAATATTGCTAAAAAACCTCAAGGACTTCACTACAAACATACTTTTTGTCCTAAGCGCCCTCATCTTTCCTCCTACCCCAGACTCAACGGATGCGCCCTCGACATAACAGGCACACGTAGAGGTCAGAGACCACCTGTTCTGAGCTGGCTGAACTGCTGAAGCGATATCAGAGGACACATCTGGCCTGACACGCCGGATGGGAAAGGCAGCTTGCTTCCAGGCTGGTGACAGCCGGTGACGGATGACTCACAGCTGATGCTGAGGTTACAGGAGGTCACATGGTGAGCAAGGAACGGAAGGGTTAGTTGGGACAGTGTTTTTCTAAGGAGCGTTTAGCTTCTAGAGAGGAGCATGAGCTGATTTCTAGTTTGTTTTGCAAGTGTTTTGAATTATCGAAGCGTGGAGTGGCAGAGTACCTAGGGGATGTACGCTAACTCATTTGTTCATCTGCTCACATAATAGACCACTTGCTGAAATCGCTCCTTAAAATGGAGAATAAAGATGTGAATCGATATTTGATTTCTAAATTTCGACAACAGTTATTGGTTTTCATTTTCTGTCTCGCACGCAGCTCTGCATTTTGAATCTCGAAAGTCCAATTTGAGTTTGTTCTGAGAGTTAGCAGTGACAAGGGGCCTCACCAGTTCTGAACAAAGTCTATCAATTCAATGTCAATATCCGTATCCCAAAGCAGCAGAGTAAAATATTATGTCTCCACTCCGTCTGAATAACAAATATTGACAGACACAAGACCTGAATCGGTAATGCAATCATTCTTGTAAGATTCTAAATTTCCCCCGGACATGTAACCTGGTTTTTCTTTTGGCTTTACAGCTATCCTTCTTGCCTCTCTCTATATATATTTCTTCTCAGTGTATTTCAGTTTGAGCGTGACTTTGTGTGGCTATATTTACATATTTATGAACTCTACATGATCCTCACCCCTCGTTCCAGAGTTCACAGCGTTATTTTCCACAGTATGGAAGGGAGAGAAGTGATGAGAGATGCTGAAAAGCAAAGAAGGGGAGGACGAGCATGTCCTCTGAGCTCTGTGCTGCCTTATTCTTTATCAGCTTTCATCTCTTAGCCCTTCCAAGAGACTGAACCATAAAAGAATCCAATCACAAGGGGACATATTATTTTCTCCCTCCTTGAATACACTATACCGTATCCTAGACCCACACAATGTCTTGTCCTCTTGCATATGTAACTCGAGGAAGCAATGGTCAGGAGCATGGTTTATCTATTGACTCTGTGTGTGATTAGCATACTAAACATGCAGTTTCTTCTAACTCAACGCACCCGGTGAGTATTAAAATGAGTCATAAGAAAAAACTCACTCATTTTTCTCCAGCAACAGGATCAGCTGTTCACCTTCTGCGGGCACCAGCAGCTGCAGCGATGCAGGATATCTCTGGAACACAAAAAGATATGAGGTCATGCCCAGAAATCACCAATCCTGTCTGTGGACGTGCGTGAAGGTTCAGCTGACGTTTTCGTGCACAAAGCAGGATGGGGCAAGGCACAATAGTGCTAGAGGAACAGGAAGAAAACTTCCACATCATTCACTTCCCAAATCTGGAATCAACTTCCATTTATACCATGACAATCCTTAAGCCTTTAATGGAAACAAATCCACTGAATAGAATTACAATGAATAATATAGTGCAGGGATTTGTTACTGTTACTGTTACTGAGGAAACTGTACTGTTGCTGTTTAATGTTTCACAGCATATTGAGACAACTCAGGAAACAGTGTATTTTTCAGCATGAAGATGTGTCTAAAAACAGACAATGTTAAGATGCTTTGACAGTGGATTGGTTTAGGTTTTGCAAAAGAATAATGGAACAAGGAGGAGGACTAATTAATGGTGTTGTGTGGGAAACCACATGTCACTCAATGACATGTTGCTTCTTTGCTTCTGACAAGGTTTGTTTGCAATAAATTGATAAAGCCTCACTTAAAATGGGACTTTTTGTCACTGGTGTATAAAAACACAAAATCTGCAATAATGTATTTTGACAGTATTTCAGACTTGGTCCAAAATGTAAGTTTGATTTTTTTGGAAGAGAAAAAGTGTCGCAACAGCTGTAATGATTACGTGACGTGAGCGGTTTGGTGTTAATGACGAATGGCTACAAGTGTCATTTAAAAATTGAATCCTCTATCAAATATTAAAATGTCAATTTCCAAAATACAGCTTTAAGATGAGTTAATGCTTTTCTGAAAATTAGCATCGTCCTTAAGGCAAAACAGAGGCAAAGAAGTTCCATGCTTTAGAGCCTCAGTTTTGTAAAAAAGGATTCATGAACGTAAGCTAGCAGAGAGGAAAAAGGGTCAGACATGTTCACACTAAGCAGAAATGGATTTATATTTCATCAGCTGATATTTTAGATGAACAGAGTGCTCTTTCACAGTGACATTTCTTAGGATAGCTGACCGATGCCTTCGGGGAAATACTCTGCTGGCCAGTCTGAAGCTGTGTGTCTGCAAGTATGTGTGTGGACAATTCATGTCATGTCTACTGTGCAACAAAGACAATGTGTCATAATTCTGCAATACTTTACAGCTCCAAGAAAACTTCTACTTGGCACACAAGGCAGGTATACCGTAGCTGACCATTTTACACCTGTTCAGCTGCGTATCGATACAAATGTGTAATATACATCTAACCAAGCAGAGACTGAAGATGCCTGTGAAAATGTGAGAATGCCTTGTTGACGGCAGATGTCCGCAGACTATTACCAGCAGTAAGATAACATCTCTCAGATGGGCTACAGCAACAGAAGACCACAAGTATTGTGACTCCTGCAGGTAAGAACAGGAAACTAAGGCTACAATGCACAACGACTCCCAAAACCTGAACAATAAAAGACTAGAAAATATTGCCTGGTCTGATGAATAGATTTCTGCTACAACATTCAGAAGATAGGGTCAGACATTGGTATGAGCAACATGAAAGCATGGATCCATGCTGCCTTGTATCAACAGTTCAGGCTGCTGCTGTTTGCATGATTTGTGGGAGATATTTCTGGCACTCTTTGGGCCCCTCAGTATCAGCTGAGCTGCTTAAATGCCACAGCTTCCTTGAATATTGCTGCTTCTAGCAGGACAACACACCACATCACAAAGCTCAAATCATCTCAAACTGGTTTCTTGATCATGACAGTGAATCCAGTGCAGTCAAACGGCCTGCACAGTCATCAGCTCTAAATCCACAAGAGCATCACTGTGAGGTGATGGAAGAGGAATTTACAACAAGGCTGATAAATCTAGGGCAGAGTGTGATGCTATGATGTCAATGTTGACCAAAATCTCTGATGAAATGATCAATGTTTCCAACACCTTGTTTAATTTGTGCCATGAAGAATTTAGGCACGACTGAAGGCAATAGGAACAGCGAAGTATACCCAACAAAATGACCAGTGTGTGCATAAATCTGCCTCTGTGTTGTGACTTTTACTGCAGTCTCTGATAAGACAATCACAAGTTACCCTTGTAGTAAGTTTAATATGGGACAGCAGGCTGCTTTAACTATTGTCTCTCCTTAACAAAAATGCCTTATATCAGCACAGTAGGTGATAGAAAAATATGGCTAATGTAGCTCAAAATGATTAAGGCTATAAAACGTAGTTTCACTTCCCCACAGTATGTGACATTTTTGTGATGACTGACTGTGAGGCAGGCACAGAACGCTGGGAAAAAAATCCTAAACAAAACAAATCGTTCAGATGGTGACTTCCCTGCACGAGGAAAAGTGTTTGATTGCTCAGGGAGTTCTGAACACCTACACATTTCCCTCCTCTGGAAAGTTTCCTTAAGTTGCGGTAGAGATGCCAAATTTCAAACATTTCCCTTTCCAGCTGTAGTAAGTGGAACAGACAGGGTTTCATAGCCTGAGAAGGCATGTTTAGAGAAACCAGAGAGGGATGATTTGTATATATCTTTTAATCTAGCTTATAATGTGTAGTACATGAACGAAATGACACTCTTTACAAGCTGTTACAGAGCTTTTAGCAATAATTTCACAATATGTAGTGTCTAGTGTAGTGTGGCAAGCTCATATTTAACAAAGAAATGAGGACATGTTCAAAACAAAGCCGATAGCATGGAAGGAGAAGAACTACAAAAAGGGGCATAACATGGAGGGAAAACATAGCAAAAGAGGGGACTTCTCTACCAAAAGAAATTAAATAGACAGGCAACAGATGGAGGCAACAGAGGAAGGAATCATATACTGTGGTTATGTTAAACAAAAAGCCAGACATCTATACTTGGCTGCACTCTGAAAAGCACACTGACATTAGCTCAGTATCTGGCTGAGTCAGCTTATTACCAATAAGCTATTTCTGCTAAATGGTTTTGAGAGTATTTACCCCAGATGTGAGTTGGCTGAGAGGTCTGCGCTCTTTGCCCTTCAGCAACAGAGGTATGGCGGTCTCATAAGTTTGCGGCCTGGTTGCCTCCCCGCTCTGTTCGGCCTTGTCTGGACTACTTCCTGTGAAAAGATCATCAGCACAGATTAGCTTGAAATTTAGCATCAAGCTACAAACAATACAGATTGCAAACAAAGGGGTCAGAAATGTGGGTCAAAGCTGCTGTGTAATATCCTCAATAATTCAAGGACACCATTAATGCAACAAAAGCTTGGAAGGCTCAGACACACAGCAGAGCAGAACACTATTAAAGACTGTGGTCGGTGCTGCAGAGAAAGAGTAAAAGCTCACTCCTGTTCCTGCGAGTAGATATGCTATCCCCCAAAGGACCCTTGCAACAAGACCACAGCCACAGACAGAGCATCAATAATAGATGCTCTCACGCAGTTTATAACTCTTCTTCTGCAATATTTCCCCAGATGGGAATGGGGTTTTTTTTCTAAAAAAGGTAGGATGAAATTGTCTTTCCCATTTCTTATATATATATATATATATATATATATATATATATCTATATATATCTTTCTTCCTGTCCAACTTTGTATAGTAGTTCAGGAACGAGCACCATACTGTGCTGTTTCCTCCTCTTTTCCACGTATCATTTTACTCCTCTTCCAAACTTGTAATAGAGCTAAATTACCAAAGTAAGAAACTGGTTAAGCTAATTAGTTTTTAAAAGATTGCTCTTTTGGGACAGAAAGAAACCTACTGTGTATAGCATAAGATGAAGTATAGTAAACCATATCAATGCTTGGAGCAAAATGTGGGAATCAGTCACAATTCCCTCTGCTCTCTCAGTGTCTCTCTCAGCTCCACAGAAGACTTGGCTGTCCCTAACGGCCTTACAGAGCATGTCTGTGCTGTTGCTAGCCCAGCAGGATTCCTGTGTAGCCCAATAAATGTTACAAACCCATAGAGGATTGAATAGAGAGTGTTAAAAGGGGAGGGGAGAGGCTGTTTGAGGTTTCACGCTCCCGCTATCAACAAAGTAAAACTGAGAGTGAGTGCGCCGCCTCTATTTACTATACATCTAAAGTCTCGGCATATTCTCTAATCCTTGGAGATTTGCAGTAAAGCATCCGCGTGTCTGCATGTGCATGTGTAACATCATACACAGTGCAACAAGAGTTCAGCAGTACACTGAGCAGAAATGCTACAATCCCACATATTTTGTAGCTCCTCCTCCCGCCTGGGGGTGTTTTGATTTTCAGGTACGTTTGTCTCTTCAAAGGGTGACGATTCTTGTCTTTGAAGACTGACTCCTGTGCCACCGTGACTACGCTTCATACAACTTCAAACTGTCTGTGACGGCGGCTTGTCTGTGTTCTCAGCGTGGCCCACACTCTCAACTTAGCCACAGTACATAATAAGCTAACAAGGGCATAAAAGGGACCTCCTACATTTAATGGGATATTTGAACATATGCCGATGGTAGTTTGTTGGTTTTAGTGGTGCACGAAAACCACGTTAGACAGACGGAGCAGCATGACTGAGACCACAGGCTGCGGCTGGAGTGCCATTAAAAAAGAGCTATAAAAGGAAAGCCAGGCAGACGTCTTGTTAATTAAAGACTTCATCACTTCCACCAGGGTCCCTCACAAATCATTTAGAGCTCTCTGACACTAAATGAGTTTGCGATCCTTAAACAATATCAGTTTGGAGTGGAGCCTTCAAGCCTGGGTGAGCTCAAAACAAACTAGTTAGTACAATGTGTTTTCAGCCCACATCTAAGCGTTTCTAATTCTTCTGTAAAGCCACATTCTAACGAGCTTGCCATCATAAAGAGCAACATACGGAAAATCTTTCCTTGAAGGCATCCATCTCGTTACATTTGTCTCTACACAAAAAGAGACAAAGGGAGTTTTGTGAAATCTAATCCTGCCCATTTTCTCTCCTCCACACACATGGCCAGTCTCTGGGTAAAGTAAGCGTGCTCACTCAATGTTGGACGTAGCCTCCCTAATTCGGGGGGGTTTAGATGCCGTTTGATGTTCTGGTAAGCGCTTTGTTTGAAGTACAGTGACCCCTTTAATATGTGAATTAATGAGTTTTTGTAGCATTTTGTGTGTGCTAGGCTTCAGTTTGCAACATCTGCCAAAGCAAACTTAAAAGAAAGTTCCCTTCAAACAGCAGAGAAATATGACATTCATCATCATTCTCACGGGTTTTATCCTCTTTGGGAACCTTTTAAATTCACACTAAAACTGGGTTAATCCCGTATGTTTTCTGAGAGCTCCATGACTGCTAAGCCAACCACAGTTGTACCCCCATATTGGACACAAGGCAGAATTATCTGTGGGTCACACATGAAAAACACAAGTTCTGTTTTGCAGCCAAGATCATCTTTCCCCCACGCTCTCTTTAAATAGCCTCATAACCCAGATTTCTTTTAAAGACAACTCTGTTTTGATGATCTAACAAATATATTTTTCTTTCTGCCACTATTTCATATTCTGCACAGCTGAGTATTACTGGTAGGAAATGGGAATTCAAACAGAGGCCGATGTCCACTTTTCTCAGCAGGGCAGTGAAACAGCCAAAAACATAAACAAACAAAATGAGCCACAATTACTGCAGTCAAATCGAAGAGGCTGCTGGACTCTGGGAAAAACTCTACCTCATTACATAGACTTGGTATTTTACCTGCTGCAACAAAAGGCTTCTCTGATAACTTTCACATCTTTTTGTCCATTTATCTTTTTGATTGAGAAAGGTGTTTATATTGTGGAGGGATTTAAGCAAAGCAGCCAAAGCAGCATGGATTACCTTTTGAAAAATGCATATGTCTGGCTGCTTTTGTATCTGATCAACAAGCAATTTTATTATAGGGTCCCTCTAGTGAGATGGATAAGAGAATACAAAACATAAGGTCAAAACGAGTTTATGAAGGACATTTAGCAATCTATAAGCAAAATGTTCAAGGAAACACAAGAGAAGATGAACACCACAGCGGGACTTGAGAGACCTTCTGCAATCAGATTAGCGTCAAACAACATATGCATACAAACTAAGTGTAACTTAACGTCTTTATGTTTTGCTGGGAAAACAGGAAATAAGGCTGTGTTTGCCTTTTTACCTAAAAAAGAGTTTATACAATTCTAACATGCTTGAAAGTCAATATTTGGTACAACCATCTTTATCTTTAAGGTACAGTAGCCACAGCTTCTTAGTAAGAGTCTTCTATAAATAATTCACTGCAAATCAACTTATTATTAGGTTGTTTATTATATATATTATATGTTGTATAATAAAAAGCTGTAAAAATATTCATTATTATGCAAACAGAAGAATCACAAAGTGAAGAGCTGCGAAATATTTCAGACAACGTGACACAAAGAGAAAAAGTCATAAAGCAGGAACTCTTTGAGCAGAGTTAAAAATAAAATCAAGGAAACACAACAAAGCCTGAAGACATGACTTCAGTTATTTCTCAACAGAGACCTTTAATGCCAGCTGATCAAAGGATAAGAACTCTGATTATGGATTTGATAATGGTGAAGATTTATTGGTCAATATCTGCACAGCGGCTGCAAAACCAACCCTCTAAGCCTCCAATCATCTGTAAATGCCCTCAGAAAGGTGAATCTTGGCCAACAGTGAATCACTGAAGAGGCTTTTAGCTTGAAAAAGGAAAATGACAGTACCCAGCGCATACACAGGGACAACTGCCAAAACGCTGATAAGAAACACACAGCATAGGTGAGTTCAACTGTTACAATTGGATTTGATGGAAATCTGGATCTGATCCAGAACCATTTCTGGGAGTGATTACTGTATTGACTTTCCTTATTGATTACAAAATGGTAAGACATTGACCCAAACTAAAATCCCTGCGTGAGCGTGAGATGAGCGTTGTTATAAGTGTAGGCAGGCTGGCTTTTTTCATCCTTAACTGATATGAAATCAAATAAAGAAGTGTTTCTCTGAATGAAATACCGAGGCCATTTCCACCTTTGTGCATTACACATTATAAGCTTTCAAAGAGGGATATTTTTCATTTTTTATTATGTATTTTTCATCTCTATCACGCATGTATATTTACACAAGTACTAAAGCAGTTCCTTTCTTCCTTAGAGTTAGAGGAAGGCATCAATATCAATCTCATCTTTGTTAAATATGAAGCTATAACAAGCAGATAGTTAGCTTAGTTTAGCTGAGTGGACTGGAGATCAGGGGAATGTGAAAGGAATTAAACCAGATGGTTTTACAGAGTTTCATGTGTGAGACAATTTCTTGGCCAGACATTGTAACGTCTTATGGTCCTGTCATCACAATGAGTTTGCCTGGAAAACAGGTGTGAAGTTACCATGCACAGCCAAAAGTAACTCCCCTTAGAGAGCCACAGTGCCATAGTACTGGGTCTTTGACCCAGTGTTTCTACCGGACTTAATAGTATTTGCTGATTTCTAAATATATAATTGCTTGCCTAGAAAGAAAGTGCTTTATAAAAAATGGTGGATGAGGCCGCTATACACAATAATAGGTCTCAATATAAAGAAACACATTAAAAAGTGAGGTTGTGCTAGCACTTATTTAATCAGAAGTTTCTCAGAAAAATATAATACCATCAATATATCTTTGTGACCGTCTACCATATTACAGCTTATTCAGTAAGACTTATTGCAGAACTCAGCACTACAGCTTTTATTTCCTTTTACAACGCATTTCTTTTTAACACATCAAAGGGAGCATTTTACAGTTCCTACTTCAATATTATGTTCGTAGACTAATAAAAGACATTCAAAAGTAGTAATGGCATTGTTTAAAAAAAAAGGAGCGCTGTAGCTCTCGGAGGTGCTAGATACTTTCCTGCATATGAATTAATGTTTGATGGTGGAAGCAACTTCAAAGAAAAGACTTTCAATGGAAAATAAGTCACTTGGTGAACAGACAGGCTTCTCTTATAGAGATTAATGTACAAATGTATATTTCAATTTGGTGTTTTATCTTGAGCAGTATAACTGGCCTGCTTGCTCAACATTAGTTCACATTGTCCCAGAATGGAAGTGCATTAAACAAGAAAGCTGAAGCTACAGCATAATTTCCACACATTTGCAATGTT